TGGACCACATCAGTGGCCAACAATAGACAATTCTTTTGGTTGATATTCACCTCAGCAGGGTGGGTGAGCATCCAAGGTGGGCAGGCTATGCACAGGGTACAAGGCCATGTAGGGGTCAGAAAATTAATTGGGGGCAGTGCTCTCACGTCAGGACAAATATATATTGCATTACATTATTGTCATTTAGCAGACGCTCTTATGAAGGGCATCTTACATTGGTTACAGTTTTTACATGTTATCCATTTATACAGCTGGATATTTACTGAGGCAATTGTGGGTTAAGTACCTTGCCCATGGGTACAGCAGCAGTGCCCCAGCAGGAAATTGAACCAGCAACCTTTCAGTAACGAACCCTGCTCCTTACCACTGTGCTACACTGCTGTCCTATATCTATATATTTATCTTTACTGTATGACTGTTATACAACATAAAAAAAAGATTATCAAAATGGAGCAAAAAATACAGTGAGGGTCACTGAACTGGAGAAATTCAGTCAACAGTGCAAAGTACCCAGACCTCGCGATAGCAGCTCAGTGTGAATGATGGTTGGAAAACAGTAGTGACGTTACGTTTGACTGACTGCTCGGTTTTAGAATGCTGTTGTGTCTACGCATGAGAAAGGAATCTCTGGGTGTTGTTAGACCTATGGCAACTGTGCCGGCCCTGTGAAACTCTCTCATTTCATCGTTGAGACCATCGTCCTCGGCCCATGAGAGAAACCGGACATCCAGGCCTCCCAGATGGACTGTGATTTAAGCAGGCCTTGACACATAAGTTCCACCCTAAAATTAAACACCTGGCTCCTGCATGGCGTTATTCTGGGTTGTCGAGATCCTGATCGCATGGAGCTATCAAAAAAAACAAGTGAAGCACCTGAGCAAACAGCCGGAGTGTGAAACGAGTCTAAGAGTTTGTCCTGATGTGGGTTGGGTGGGGGGGATTTTCGGAGTGCTCTTGCTCAGGGAGAGTTTCTCAGCTACCTTTGGTCTAATCTGTTGATCTGTTCCTCTTGGCCCGGAGTCAAGATCTAATCTGCCGTCTCTTGAAACGGACACACATCCTCTGTGAGCTCTGGAGGTAAGGGGTGCTTTCCCCTCCACGCCTCACAGCGTTTCCCCCCCTCTCGGCAAGCGCCGGGCCCTCAGTGCGGCCTGGAGCCTCCTCGACGCTGCCAGCCTTCTGCTTTGGGTTCATGTCTGCACCGTGAGACTGCAGCTGAGCCAGTTGTCTGCTGACAGACAGCTGCGCAAGGCTATGTGCACACTGGGAGCTGAGGACAGAAGTTTGGGGGTGCTGCCATGGGAGCAAGAAGGGGAAATAGGGAAACTGTCCATATGTTCAGTGGGGGGGGTGTGAGAGGGAAGGGGGCTCGGCTGCATCTCTGCTTGTCGTCCGCTTTCCCCCTCCTGCTGTACGCCAGAACAACTGTGACCACCAGAGTCGAAAATGTTTATGGAAAACTCCCTTCCATGTGTTCCGTCTGACCATGGGTTGGTGGGGGTGTGGGATAACTACAGTCAGCTGAGCCCTGGTCACACGTACTGCACCCTGCTTCAGAACCTCTCCATCTAAACAAACCTAAAGGGTAAGCCTTTTCTCGGTTTTTAACTCCCATTCTTGCCGTTCTAATCCCTTTCGGAAATTAGTGTAAACACCAAATAAATACAGTAATCTAAAACTAAACACTGTGACAGCCCGAATTCCCAAGCTGCTCCTTTTTTTCCGCTTTATTGAAGCTGTTGAAAGAAGGCAGTTGTGAAATGTGGAGAGGACCAATCACAGCAATGTTACTGACAACTGATTTGATTGGTTACTCACCGTCCAACTGCACCTATTCGTGTTACGAAACCCGATTAGGACATTTCAGTAAGGCAACGTGACAAGTTACATATGATTCATATTTATTGTGCTGAGAATAGTTTGTATTATAATTACATGTATATTTGATTTACCATTAAGCATCGGCAGTCAGTGATATTGCAAATTAAGAAATTAGATGCCGTTGAGTCTTGAAATCAGGTCAGGGCTGTTGAGGTGGAAAGCTTGCTATTCAAAATATTTATGATCTCTCTCTCTCACACCACAGACAGACTCTCTCTCTCTTCCTCTCTCTCCCTCTCTCCCCATATATGGAACCCAGCCATTAATTAGCTCTCTGATAGGAAACAGATGACTATTAATAAAATTAGAGGCATGTTCTGTATTCCTTTAGCGCATGGCATTCCTGTGCGTAAGCTGGTACATGAAAGCATTCCTCTGCGAGTTCAGCCCAGTGGCCCGAATTCTGAGAGATTTGAGGGCGACAGGACAGCTGGAATAAGAGAGGCACCGAGCCCGAACCCGCCCCCGCACACCCAAAGCCAGGCCGAGCGCCGCCCGTAACGAGGAACGTGCCCTCTCACGCAGCCGTTACGATAATTATCATTTCCATTTTTAAGGGGATTGCTTTTTTTTCCCAAGCTATTTTTTTTTTTTTAGTTTTTCCTATCAGAGCTTCCCAGGCCATTGAATGGAGGTGTGAATAATGAAGATGGTCGTGTTGTCCAAATGGGTGCTCCTACTGTGGAGGAAAGATGGGGGCGAGGTTACGATGGTCCTGTGGTCAAAGAGATGCAGGGGGATGGGGGGGGTTGAATACTTGTGAGGGAAGAGCACTGATCCTGGGTCAACAGATGGTAATGAATGGCCAGAGGAATACTAAAGAAGACCTCACATAATGTCTCACAAGCTCTCGTCAGCCGCGCTTAGCTTTTCCCCGAGGACAGGTGAAAGCCAAGTGATTGGCCAAGATACAAGAAACCGCCATCAATATGGTGGAGCTGCATGGAATGCGCAAATATGACCCGCATAGAGTTTTTTTTGTGTCTAATTACGTGGACTCTGATTGGACTCTGATGGCCCACCCCAATCAGCAGGCCTTTCATCTGAGGCATACTCACCCTCAGTGTTTTGTGTCTCATGGGAGAGAGATGTCTGAGATAGGCAGCCAGCATGTGCGTGGAGTCTGCCAGCTAATGCCCCCCCACTCCCCCTCAAGGAATCTTGGCTCAGCTGGTACCCAAATGCCAGGCTGTGGCCGTCCGCCGCCCCCTTGCCCCCTCACCCCCCTCTCCCCACACGTGTACCATGGGGGAAAACAGGAACAAACTGATCCCTCTTAATTAAGCCCCTATTAATGTCAATGACTGTGCTGATTCCTGCTTTCAGAGTCTCATTAAGCTGAAGCGGTACACCCGTTCCTTTTGGATGCACTGAGTGGAGCGCGGGGGTGAACTAATTCCAAACAATGCCTCGGCTGGACCCCTTCCCAATCACTTTTGAAGGATTTATGTGTGCATGCACCGTAGGTGTCTACTTTACAGAACAAAAAAAAGCAAAAAAAAAAGTCAAATTAGTCAGCGCAAGAATTCCGTCTCTAAATTAACATTTCATACGCATGGTACACTTTATACATTTCTTTCAGATTTTTTTTTTCCCTGTGTTTTGGAGAAAAGTGACAAATTTATAAGTGAAACAGCTGAGCCATTATCCTATTTATTTTATTAGTAATCCCCTTCACTTTTAGCAAGTGAAAGTGCCTTATTAAATTCCCTCTTTCTTCTTGGCAGTTCACAGCGTAACTAATCTCTGTGTGGCTTGTGTTCTGGAACTGCTGGCGGCTCGGTGAAAAATGGACCTCATTCATGCGTGTTCATAAAAGGGGTTGACTGCTCTGGGAACAGTCCTCCCCTGAGCACCTAGCATCTTAGCTGAGCTGGAGAATCCCCTCTCCCTGTCCGAACACCACCAGCTGGCTCAGAGCAGTGCTGACAGTAACAAGACCAATACAGTATCTGTAATACAGCGAGCGATCAAAAACGGCAATGAAAAAGAACGTCCAATCTTCTCGATGCATTCTTTAACAGGATGTAGGCTTATTAAATCTGTAAGCACTGAGGATCTGAATAAAATCTCTGCAGCACTACACTGTGCAAGTTTGCCCTCCCAGCCTCAGGAAAATGAAACAAGCGAGAAAACGTACAAAAGTCGTGAGAGGCTATTTTGGCTAGAGGAGCACTTATACTTTTTAATGTGAAAATGCAGTTGTGAGCTGAGAGACGTCGAAGAAGCAGCACCTAATCAATGTGGATTAGCATGTTTATTTCTAGAAGTTACATTACATTATTTCTAGAGGTTACATTACATTACATTACTGGCATTTAGCAGATGCTCTAACGCAGAGCAATTTACATAGGTCACAATTTTTTTATCATGTTATCCATTTATAAAGCTGGATATTTACTGAGGCACTTCTGGGTTAAGTACCTTGCCCAAGGTTACAACAGCAGTGCCCCAGCCAGGAATTGAAACAGCAACCTTTCAGTTACGAGCCGTGCTCCTTACCACCATGGTACACTGCCACAGTTCCGCTCATTTTACTCCGGCCTAGTGCAAAGAAATATTCAGAGCTCAAATAAGTGCTCTTTCCCCTCTTCGATTGCGTCGAAGTAAATATCTGAGTTCCCTTCTTTTTTCTTACTTAAAAGAAGTGTAACACGGGGGGGGTTTGATTCAAACCAGAAGGAGGGTGGTTTTTGAAACTAATGACGCCAGAACCCTCCATTAGCTCTGGGTCATTTAGAAGCGCTTTACGGTACAAATCACTCTGCCTCATCAGAGATCGCTGAAGAACAATGGCGCGGCGCGTCCGGCCCACGTCAGCCCGGGGAGACAGCGCGGTCCAAGCGGCCGGCAGACCGTGCTGGAACACTGCTCTCACTGTAAACAAACACGGCCGCCACCTGGCTACCGACCCGCAACCGAATCCACGCACCGCGATTCGCCAGCGGCCTTTGAAGTCGCGAGCAGTGACGTGAGATTTTGGGAGAAAGTTTCTGTTCTTTTGTCTTCCTATGGTAGGATTGGAGGCCTTACTGACATTGGTTAGGAGTATCTCTGCATGGTGGAAACACAAAAAATGGCATACAAAACCCTGCTATAAGTGTGCTCGTTTTAAGGGTGCTAGTGTGCTGTAGTGGAAAGGAGCAGGGCTCATAACCCAAAGGTTCCTGGTTCGATTCCTCACTGAGGCACTGCTGTTGTACCCTTGGATGAGGTAGCTTCAGTAAATATCCAGCTGTATAAATGGGTAAAACTGTAACCTATGTAAGTCACTCTGGATAAGAGTGTCTGCTAAATGACAATAATGTAATGTAGTTTTAGCGTTGCTCGGAATGCAGAACTCTTCCTGCAGAACTCCTCCTGTTCATACATACACATACAGTCTTAAATGGTTTTATGTAACTGGGCGAGTGGTGGCTTACTTGCATGTGTGTACTATGTGTTCATGTTATATTTGGAATGATAGAGTCCTTAAGTTGCTCAGACTGCTTTGGACTTGCATGTCAATGGAGGCACGCAGTTATGGTCTCAGTACTTTATTTAGCACTGACGCTTGTTCATGTGTGGTTAGTGGTGTCTTGTTTGTGCAACTTTCCATGCTACTTGATTAGATGTATTCTGTAAGTCACTCTAGTTAAGAGCATCTGCAAAATGACAATAATGTATATATGTAAAAAGGAAATTACACAGAGAATGGTGGCCCTTATGTCTTTTTCTTGAAGTCTTTCCAAGCTTGTGAGGCATATACTATAGGCTTTACCGAAACAAATTGCGAGGAATACGTTTTAACGCTTACTTGCACACACAAAACAAAAAAGCTTCCTCTGTAGGTACTGCAGAACAAGCATCTCACTGATTCTCTTGTTGCTTTTGTGTTTGTTTTGAAGTGGACCGCGTGCCAGTAGGGGAAGTGTGGAGCCTGTGTGCATCCCGCTAATTAAAGGCTCAAGTGAAATCTTGCCGATTTTCCACACCGAACTGGTTCCCATTGTCTGCCGGGGCGGAACTGTCGGTGCCTCGGGGTGGCTTGCTGTTCTCCTCGTTGCTGCTCTGCACCGTGGCAGAGCTGTCGGCCTTGTCCCATCTTGTGTTCTCCATTTCCCATACCTCAGTAGGATTCGGCTTTGCCACTCCCCAGTCCATGGAAAAGCGCTGGCACCAATCTGCTTTTTTTTTTTTGCAGGGTGTTTTTTATTCTCTCTCTTTCTTGGTCTTTCTCTCTGTCTCTCTCTCTCTGTCTCTCCGTTTCCCTCTCTCTCTGTCTCTGTGTCTATCTGTTTCTTTCTATTTCTGTCGCTCTGTCTGTCTGTTTCTCTCTCTCTCTCCTTCTCTCTGTGTCTCTCCCTCCATCTGTCTCTCTCTCTCTCTCTCTCTCACTCTTTCTCTCCTTCTCTCATTTTGGCACCACTTCTCCTTCCTGGTGATGCTGTGTAGTGCCCTCCCATCTCCCGCCACCAGGGGCGTGCTTTCTTGCAGCCTCATGCCCGCTCACTCGAGCAAGCACATGCACACGTGCACACACCCATGTATCCTGCATGTGAAGTGGCTTCAACAAATGGAGGAAACCACATTTTCAGCCACTCTATTTCAGATCTATAACCCCCTTAAGTAGAGGAAGGAGAGAAAGAGAGAGAGAGACAGAGAGAGAGAGAGAGTCGCCCAGTACTGCCTTTATTTACAACCTCTGCACACACACGCACACACTCACTCACACAAACTCACATAGACACACTCACAGTTACACACACTGGCACACTCACACACACTCTCACACTCACACATACACACACACACACATACACACACAAACTCACGTAGACACACACACACTCACACTCACTCACACAAACTCACATAGACACACACTCACACAAACTCAAATAGACACACACACACTCACACACAAACTCACACACTCACACAAACTCACACAAACTCACACACACACACACACACACACACACACACACACACACGTGCGCATGAAAATGCCCAGCACATACACGCTCATTTGCAGTGATTGAATGGTTTGGAATGGCAGGGTAATAATGGGATAATGGCTATGAATCACACCGGCTGTAACTGGCACATACCGTACCCTCGCTCTGGTCATCATATCAGCAACACTGTCTGAACCTCCTCCCTTCTGCACTCAGATAAATGTTCCCACACTTCTTTGCTCCCCATTCCCAGGAAATGTGATTCCAGATATACATGATGAATGAAAACAAACCCTTTTTTCATGATTAAACTTAGGAGCCTGCTGTTGGTAGGATAAATGTGTTACTACTTACATTTATATCGAAGATAAATACGGTAGTATTAGTATGAGTGGGAGATTTTTTAATACTTACTAAATTCACTGATCTTACTGTAAATATTTACTTAAACTACAATGCATATGTAATAGCTCAGCCAACAAAATTATTTAGCCATTTTGAAATCATTTCGCCACGATTGTTATAAATAGGCACTCACAGTAACATGCAGGCTTATTGTTTTGAGTTGGTAAATATTAGAGATCATATATTACACTTTGTTATATTTATCTCACCTTCTGACCAGGTGAAAATATACCAAAGAATACAGTATGCAGCATTAGCTATATAACCTTTAACAACCAGCTTACCAACTGTTTACAGGCTTTTAAAATGGACATCTGTAACAACCTTGAGGAAAGTTTGTTATTGAAGACTTTCTACATTAATCTTTTATCAATACATCTTTTATCAATTATCTTTTGTTGTCTAAAAACTGACCTAGTTCAGTTCAGTGCTCATTGATTTTTTTTTTACCATTGCAACAGTGAGAGGGAGGGAAAGGGAGGGGATTGAGAGCTTTTTCAAAAGGATGAATTTTTTGAAGGGGTTTGTCAAACAGTCAAAGAACAAGGTGAACCACAGCAGGGTTTTCACTTGCTCAGTTGGAGAGGATGGCTGAGGTTAATTTGTGTTGGGGGCTTCACAGCACAATTGAAGGAACGGGCGTCTGACTGCTACCCCCCGACCCTGTGGTCCGTTGCTGCCTCCATTCAATACCAAACGCAAACTTCCCCGGACCCGGCTCTCCCTGACTCTTCCTCTTCACATTATACACCCTGCATGCGCAAAGCCCCTGCCCCTGACTTGTGCCACAGATCTTTGATACTAATTTGCAGGGGTTTGGGATAATAAACACAAGACTCTTGAGCTCAGGCCCCGGCAGCACTTCCTGTCTCTGGAGCGGGCCATTGGTGGAAAAATCACAACAAAGGGAAAAAAAGGGCACTCAAAGGGGCAAGGAATCTGTGATTGCTTTGCCAGATCTGAGGTGGGGAAGGAGTCAGTTAATGGTGCTGGGGTAAATCTCTGCCTTTTACAGGAAGGTGGACTTTGTTTTTTGGACTTCAGAAGTCATCTTTCAAAGAAGAATTTGTTATTCGTTACATTACATTACATTACATTGATTTAGCAGACGCTCTTATTCAGAGCGACTTCCAGCAAAAAAAATACTATCTTCAGATTATCAGGATTGCGTAGTTCCATTTCAAAGTGGACTTTTATATGCAGTTACTACGTTACATTACCGGCATTTAGCAGACACTCTTATCCAGAGCAATTTATATTGGTTACAATTTTTACAGTGGATATTTACTGAGGCAATTCTGGGATAAGTACCTTGCCCAAGGGTACAGCAGCGGTGCTACAGGAGGGAATTGAACTGGCAACCTTTCGGTTAAGAGTTCTGCTCCTTACCACTGTGCTACACTGCCTCCCTGCTATTCACTGTGTATAAATTCAAATAAAACGGTTGCATTCGTTTTGTCAGGTCAGGCTGATTAAAAAGCACCTCCCTCTCTCTCTCTTCCTGTCTGTCTCTCTCCTTTCCACTCGTCGTCTCTCGTTGCCCGTGCAGAAGAATTCCCAACATCTGTCTCAATCAGCCATTAGATGCTGCAGCCCCCACCCCCCACCCCTCGTATCGATATCCCAGAAAAAGCGGAGCATGACCAAAGGTCAATAATTATCCCACAATGCACAGCATGAGTTGATTAAGTCCTACCCAGGCCGAAACTCTGGGGGGAAAGAAGAACATTCCACGGAACGTCAGACGGCCCATTGTTGTGTTCTCTTTCAAATCCCCGCTATGCTTTCATTCCTCTCTTCAAGCGATTCTAATAAGCGGTTCTGGAACACTTCTGTCTGGTATTTATTAAGCGTCTGATTCAATTCTAATAATCCCTGCGCTGTTACCCAAGAGGACCTGGAATGAAGCCGCGGCGGTACATGTGGGGACATGTGTAAATGATTTTTTTTCCCCTCTCTCTCTCTCTCTCTTTTCTTCTCTCTCTCTCTCGCTCTCTCTCTCTGTCGTGCTGGGGCGCTCTGCCGAAGAAGCCGACGCGGGCAGGGGGTCAGTATGCCGGGCACAGTTTTCGCTGGGGTTTTGGTGAAAGTCCAGCGCCATAAAAATCTGGCAGCTCCTTCAAACCTCCCCTCTTTGAAATTCCGGTCTCTCAGAGGGGCTGTCGCAGCTCTCAGCTCGGAGCCCCTCGGCTCATCCTCAGAGGCCGGCTGGTGTACGTGTGCTGATCCAGGGGAAGGCTCCAGCGCAGGGAGGCAGTGCCAGGCTTCTCTTCCAGGCTGCAGAGAGAGCCTCCTCAGTCTGGGCCCCAGCTGTTCTGCTCTGTCTGAGCAATTAGCTGTAATCAGCTCTCCGGGCTCCCTGGGTGTCCTGCACAAACGCTTTCACAGGCTGGCACCACACCGGACGCCCCTCATCTGCACATCTGACACACCCTCATGCACGGACACACACTCACACACACACACACACACACACACACACACAAACACACACACACACACACACAACACACACACACACACACACGGACACGCAAACACACACACACACACACACACACACATGCACACATGCACTCACACACAAACACACACACACATGCACACACGCACTCACACACACAGACACACACACACACACGCACATACACACACACACAGACACACACACACACACACACACACACACACACACACACACACTCACACACACACACACACACACACACACACACACACACACACACACACACGCACATACGCACACACACACAGACACACACACACACACACACACACACACACACACACACACACACACACACACACACACACACCCTCACGCA